CTCTCTCTCTCTCTCTCTCTCTCTCTCTGTTATCAACAAAATTGATAAGCATTTGATTCACAACAAATGAGACGCCTTTCGTGAGAGGTTTTGGTTAACATTTTATTGATTTGTATCATATTTTGCTGAAGAAGATGATGGCAGCACATACTGTGTCCAACCATTCAATATTTACAGTATATTTATCACAATCTTAACTTTTGACATTGATCGTCTTCACGCAGCTATTCTATAGTATGATTATTGAAATATTCTAATCTTTATTATATTTGTATTTATATTGTATTTAATAAACAATTTTAATTGCTACTTTTAATTATACAAATGTCAATTTTATTACAATATTTCTAGATTCGGAAAGCAGAATAATATCATGTACTAATTTATTAATTTTAATTAAAAATATAACATGTTTAAACTAAAACAGTATAGTTTATTTAATTTGAAAAATTGGCATGGTAAATAGTTAAACATTTAATCCATACTAATTTAAAATTTAAAATAAAACATTTAACATTTTGACACACTTTTATGCATTTATGCATTTTAAACAACAACTTTTGTTTGTCATTAAAACAACTCTCTACCGTCAGTACAACAAACGATAAATAAAACATACAAAACATTACTTTAAACAGTGTTGTCAACAAATTCAATGTAAACATAATGTCATTATTATTTCGCATAACACTTTCATCTGTTTTAATGCACTTTAAGAGAGTGTCATTAATGGACCTCCGGATCCATAGGCTGAATATACCGGTGCTGTGAATCCAGAATATGTCGGAATCGATATTACGCTTAATACGTGTGTCGAGACTCTTGGAGAGTCCCAGAGCTCGTGGCATGAAATGCATTTTCTCGTTCCCTATGTATAGCTCTGTCTGCGATCTTCTCTTACAGATATTCATAGATATGGCTATTAGTCTGCTCTCAGACGTAACGTAAGCCAACTTTCTCGCTGTTAATTGTGTGATCTGGTCGTCACTGGAGCTCTCATTTTCCATCACTTGAATCATTTTCTTTCCTATAAGTCTCTCAAATTCATTGATCTCCGAATCATTACTTTCTGCCGCAGACTTGGATTTTAGACATTGTTTTAGATAAAAATAAAATATTACTAACAAATACTACGAATAATACTAAAATACAGTAGTATTAATATAACAAATAGTTATTTTTAGTTTGTAAATTAAGTTTATAATAACAAAAAAACTATTTTTAGATCATTAATTAGAGCTTAAAATGTCATAACAAACCAAAAATGTAAATCCACTGAATGTCTGCTTAATAGAGACGGGAATGCATTGAGTTTCTCGTAATAATTCTTCTAAAGTATTGATTAACTGATTGTTAGTATTAGTAACCAAATCGACGGAAAGCATAGCGTTTGAATTGATGGTAAGAAATAGGATATTAATTGACAGTAATCCCGATAACAGACGATTTGTTGGAAAGACAGCCACTTTTCCTGAACCTAACAAAAATAAAATTTGAAAATGAAAATAAAAATCATTATAACTTATCCCGATAATAATTTATTTATTATTATTTATTACAAGTTATTTATTAATAAATAACTAACTTCTAGAGAATATAAGTCCCATATAATAATAAATATATTTGTTTGCTAACGCGAAGCAAATATTGTGATATAAAAGCCAGTCTCGCAATAAAAATAATGAAAATGTAAGTAAAAGTGTAATAAAAACAAAACTCCAAACGAATGAATCAAATCCTCTTAAGTAATCAAATGAAGGATTTGTTTTGGAGAAGTGACTCAAAATGCTTATCTTGTCGACCATTAGAGGGGCCGAGAAGTCCATTATTTGCATTCGTTGGACATTCATTAGCGGCGGACCTAACATAATGTCGGCGTCGTTTCGCTGCACAAAACCACTCATTCCTGTCCACGACTTATTGGGTAATGGAGTCCCGAAATTGAGTTCACTTTTAATTATGTCATACGATATGTTTCGACGATTCAATAAAACGTCCAATAGTTGGCCCATCACTCCCTTCACCACTACTGAACCGTTCAATGTATCCAATGTTGATAATGGGCTCCACTTTACCATAATTTATTTGTTTGAATTTAGTTATAATAAAAATTATAAGCTATTGTTTTAAGACATACCTCGTGTGCTATAATTCTTAGCTTCATGTTTGCTGTCATCGGATCTAATCCTATTATCTAATACTTTTATCATTAAAATGTTTAGCATTTGATATCATAAAACAGTAACAAAATACTGTCTGGGAATGGAGTCGTTGTTATTTAACCATAACATCATTATTTTAATTAATTTCATATCCATTAAGAAAAGGTTTATATAAACTAAAGCACAGAATGTTTGTATTAACAATGTAACATTAACAATGTAGTTATAATGTAGTTATCCATAAACCATAACTATAAATTTGTTCCCATAAATGCCAACATACTGTTTGCACTAAAAAATTATTTTGATTATTATTAATGTAATTATTATAACTACTAATTATTACAAAAGTACAAATTTATTGTGCAATAAAAGTGTATTTATAACCAAAATCTGGAAATTACTTAAAAGATGTTTACTGTTAGATAAAACGTGTCAATTAAAGTTAAAATAGTTTTTGTCTAAGAAAAAATATCACAAAAGCATTACAATTATATTTTTGCAGATTTAACAGTACTGTAAGACTTATACAATAAGTGAAAGGATATCTTATAAATACAATAAAATAAAGTATATTTCGGACTTCTATGAAGTCATACACATGTATTTGAGCTAATATTTTGTCATATACTGTATTTGTGTTTCTATAGTGATTAGTAATTATTCATAAGAATTTTATCCTTAAATAACACTATTAATACATATTTCCTTTTAATTCAGTCAATCACTCTAAAAATGAATATAAATTGTATGTTTTTATTGTAGTTTTCCTTTACTTATTACATAAATATTTAAATATAACTAAAAATGTTATTGATTGTTTTTTACATTGAATTTTTTGTATTTGTTGTTTCATTTTAAGCAAATAAATTGAAATATCTTATAAGTCTTCATATAAAGACAATGATTGATAGAAATAAATTTAAAGTGAAATATTCTTATGCCAAAATAAAATTTAATATCGTAAGCAATAAAATTTATAAACAATTTGCAAATAACACAAAACAAATATATTATAAATAGATTCCAATATTAAAAAGTGGCTTGTTGTTATGAATTGTTTTAAATATGAAAATGTAATTTTAAATTGCTTTATATATTATATAATAGTAATAGCAAGACCTAATTGCTTTAATATTGTATTAAACAGATATTTTAAGTTTGAAAAATGAATTTAAAAAGATAAAGAATTATTTTATTTTTATAATTTATTATGTTTTATTTAAAATTTAAAAAAAATTAAAATAATTATTTCCAAAACTATACATTAATACTATTGATAGATTCATCAATTCCGAAACATAAAAGAGTTTTACATTGTTCTTCAATGTTTAATTGTCACAAATAAATCATGACAAAATTACGAAATCCCCTGAAATAGCTCTTTGTTACACAACAATAATTGTAATGCGAGTAAATGTTTGTATTTTTACATCAGTTTTCATTACACATAAGATTCGCGCTAATAATATATTAATTTTTGTGTTTATTTTATATTATTTTTTAAACTGATTTTTATTCAAATATTGCGAAAACTATTTTATTTATAGTTCAATTTTCACACTTGTTATTACACTTATCAAAGCAATTATAACATAATGGCCAATAATCCCACACAAGTAATCCCAGAACCAGTGATGGAATTTATAGCAGAATTTATGGGGCTTTTTATTGTATTGGTTTGTAGGCAAACAAATATTACCATATAATTGATTCTTTATTGTTATATCTTATAAATAGCTAATAATCTAACCATAAATATGTATATTATATTTAGTTTCTGGGATTTTCTGGAGTTTTTCTATTAGATATATTCCCGTCAAAAGCAATTAATTTATACGACAATTGTGTTGGGAATCAAACGTGTAATTCTGGTTCAGGAATGGCTGCGGGAGACGTCGTCTATCAGCTGAAGATCGGCAACATTGAGATCTTAATGATTGCGATGGCGTTTGGCAGCGGTATTGCCGCAGCTTTTATGATTGTCGGACACATTTCCGGTAATAAATAATTAATAAAAGTAATCTTGATCAAATTACATCATTGAACGAAGTTAACATGAAAAATTCATTTATAATGTTTATAACATGACATTTATAGGCGCTGTGTTTAATCCGGCAGTTTGTGTCGCTTTGGCCACAATGAATAGATTCCCACCGTATGTCACCTTCACATGCAATTTGTGTAATAATAACGACAAAAACAAATGATAACAAATTGATTGCAGGAAAAAACTAATACATTATATTTTGGGTCAATATTTGGGTGCCTTCTGTGCCTCAGCGACGCTTCACTTGTATTTCTGGCCGCACATGAAGACCGACACAGGAGTCGACCAAACAAAGCAGTTATTGAACGCCTTATTTGTGACGACTCCTCACATTAATATCAATTTTCTTACGGCTTGTTTCGACGGCTTTCTCTCGTGTTTCATACTTATGATCATAATTATGGCTATCAGTGACCAGAAAACCAATGCCATACCCCACATGATTGAGCCCATCTATATTGTCATATGCTTTGTAGGCCTTATTATTGCATTTTGTCTCAATTGTGGGGCTGCTCTTAATCCGGGTTTGCATTTATTTAATTAATTATTTAGTTGTCATTAATTTTTTTTACAATAAATAACCCAAAGCTCGCGATTTGGGTCCTCGACTCTATGCCGCCCTTTGGATTGGCTTTAAACCTGTCTTTCAGTGAGATTTAGATTTACATAAATTTCCCACTCATTTGTTATTTTTAACCATAGTTATCATAACTACTGTTACTTTTGGGTATCTCAACAATTGGCCTTATATCTTGGTTATATTGTTGGATAAGTTTAACTTACAGATAAAACTTATAACAATTGTTTAATCTATTATTGATTGTAATGCACAGGGTGGACTTATCTGCTATTATTTCAGCAAATACCCCAATGAATTGTCAGTTACTCTGGAAAAGCATTTTTCATACATTTCCAAAGAATTAAATATTAATATTTTATTGTTATTTTATAAATTTAGTGTCAAAATAATTATTTATTAAAACCACTTAAACTTTAAATGCATTAAATGGTTCTGTTGGAAAAAGCAATAAATTACAATAAATTATATTAATATTTATAGTATTTTAAACAAAATAAAATTTTTATAATAAATTCTAACCGATAATGTATTTTCTGTAGAAACAAATTGATTAAATAATTTTAAAAGTCATTTTTAATGGTATAGTTTGGTTACAAACTATAAAATAGATAACAGACACGTATTCTTGATACTTTTGTTATGGCATAAATATAATGTTTTTTAATAAGTAAACATAATGTCAGTTATAAATTTACCTAAAAAACTCTGAAATGATAATTTATCATTTTATTATTGATAAATTATACTTTTTACGATTAAAGTACCACTTTTTGTGGCCGTTTTTAATAAAATGTTTTTTACTTTGAATTATGGGGGACCGAAAGATGCAATAAACCACATTATTCATAGCTGAATCGTGCAAGTATGAATATACAGAATTGTTTTATTTTATTATTTAATATTAGGGTAAGCAAAAAAGAGTCAAAAATAAATCAATTTTCAATCATGATCATTTTCTCAATAGACAATAATGGTTATCACCATCATAATGCCAGATTCATCAATTCTTGGACATAAAATTGATTTACATTGTGCTTTAATGTGTTGATAAATTGTCATCATGACAAAATTACACAAATCCCTGAAATAGCTCTTTGTTACACAACAATGAGTGCAATGCGAGTATCAATTTGTATCAATTTTACGCAAGTTTTCAATACGCTTAACACTCGCGCTAACAATATATTCACGTTTGCTATTATTTCCAACTGTTTTGATTCAAATGTTGCAAAATTTATTGTATTTATTGACAATATTTGCATTTTTGTTAGTATTTCAATCTATTTAAAGAAACTATAACATAATGGCCAATAATCCCACACAAGTAATCCCAGAACCAGTGATGGAATTTATAGCAGAATTTACGGGGCTTTTCATTATATTGGTTTGTAATCAAACAAACATTACTACTTTATATAATTGACTGCTTTATTGCTATATCTTATAAATAGTTAAAAATCTAATCATAAAAAATGTATATTATATTTAGTTTCTGGGATTGTCTGGAGTTCTTCTATTAGAACTCTTCCCGTCAAAAGCAATTAATTTATACGACAATTGTGTTGGCAATCAAACATGTGTTTCGGGTTCAGGAATGGCTGCGGGAGACGCCGTCTATCAGCTGAAGATCGGCAACACTGAGATCCTCGTCATTGCGTTGGCGTTTGGCAGCGGTGTTACGGCAGCCTTTATGATTGTCGGACACATTTCTGGTAATAAATGATTGATTAAATTGATTTTAATCAAATGATACCATTGAGCATAATGTTTATTACATGACATTTACAGGCGCTGTGTTTAATCCGGCAATTACTGTCGCTTTGGCCACAATGAATAAATTCCCGCCGTATGTCATCTTTGTATTTATTTTGTTATAATAATTGCAAAAACAAATGATAACAAATTAATTACAGGAAAAAACTAATACATTATCTTTTGGGTCAATATTTGGGTGCCTTCTGTTCCGCAGCGGCGCTTCACTTGTATTTCTGGCCACACATGAAGACCGACACAGGAGTCGACCAAACAAAGCAGTTATTAAACATATTGTTTGTGACGACTCCTCACAACAATATCAATTTGTTTACGGCTTCGTTGGACAGCTTTCTCTCAACTTTTATATTTGTTATCATAATTATGGCTATCAGTGACCAAAAAGCCAATGCCATACCGCACATCGTTGAGCCCATTTACATAGTGTTATGTCTTTTAAGTGTTATAATTTCATTTAATCTCAATTCTTGCGGTGCTCTTA